CTTGACTAGTTCTTTTTAGGTGCACCTCTTAGTTTGCGCTGTTTTTGTGTTTTAGTTGCTCATTGATTTATTTGCTTTATTGATAGAATGTGCATCTCTGAGACAAACCCATACATAGTATAGTGCTGAGAGGTACCAATGCTTTCCCCAAAAACAGCTACTTAGAGTTAATATGCTCTACTTCTCACTGAAGGAAATGTAAGTATGAGTTGTACTGCTACAAACTGCAGCAGCAGTTTCTGCCAAAGCAAACTTAAGTCTCTGCATATGAGTTTAATGCAGGCCCGAGAGAGACATTTTTATTCAAGCAATCGCAGGGAGAGGACTCTTGGAAAAGAGCTCTGCCAGGCACCTTTAACATACCTATATTTATGTATTCCTAGCAGATGGCTTTATTCATGTGCAGACTTTCCAGTGCACACACAGTGACATAGAAGCTGAGCGAGTCAGAAGGGGCCTCCTGGGCCATCTAGTCTGACCCCTGCTCCAGCTGGCTGTGCTCATGACATGCCCACCATGTGCATGTCCAGCCTGTCCTTGAACACCCTCACCAATGGGGCTTCAACCACCCCCCGTGACAAAATAAAACACTTGTTAATGAAAACATCTGTTGCAGGAGATGCTGAGAGGTAGCTCTTACCTGTTAGCCATGAGGTTGGCCATTTCCTGCATATCAAACAACTTTGATGCCCTAGCTTTCCTTGCTATTGTAATCCCCCCTCCTTTTGCGGCCTTCTTGGTCACCATTGTTTGAGCCAATCTTTGGGAATTTATGCTCCCACAGTTCTTAACGATCTTCTGCAGTGAACACAATTGTAAATATATACAAATAATCTGAAACTGTGTTCTCAGAAAACTGTCATGTCAGAGAGGAATTTCTGTTACGACATTTTGAGAACCAAATATAAAAATGTCAAAAAGAACAAGAAACGAGTCCTTTCCTCTTGAATAGGAAACCAGCTGGTGAAATCCTGATTCCCTACTGCTTAATGCTGAAAGTGAACAGAAAAATAAATAGCAGAAGCCACTATGGGGCACCAAAAGAGTTGGATTTAACTTACGAATGAAATAATTTTGATCCTTTTCATGCTCCATAGTGTTATGGATAGCATATCTGAGAGCCAGTGTGGTACAGGCGTTAAGAGCGAGAGACTGGGACTCAGGAGATGTGGTTTCTAGTCCCCACTTAGCCATGGAGCCAACTGGGTGACTTTGGGCCAGTCATAGGCTCTCAGCCCAATTCACCTGGCAAGGCTGTTGTGAAGATAAGATTGAGAGCAGGAGAATTATGTAAACCACCTTGAGATTCTAGAAGGAAAAAGGCAGAAGAGAATTGTAATAAATAACATAATAAATGACTATTACCCCACCCAAAGAAAACTAAAATACGGCTACTTTTTTTCATGTGAGGAACCAAAGGTGACATGCATAATTCAATTTGTCCTCACAACAACCCTGTGGGTAGGTTAAGCTGACAGTAATTGGCCCAAAACCACCCAGAGAGGGGTTTTATTTATTTATTTTAAAATATCTCTACCCCGTCCTATAAGAAAATTGTCCCAGGAAAACTTACAAGTTTTATGGCCAACTGGAGACCATAACTTGGATCTCTTGAGTTTCAGTCCAACACTTACCCACTTCCTACTCATCTGTACTTGCTTACTTCCTTCACTGAATAGTTCATTTGGTTTCAAAGTGGGAATTCATTTTCTTGATTTTTCTGTGTATTTTAGGAAGCGGTGGAATCGGGTGGGGGGGATGAGGAGGAATGTCCTCAGCCAAAGAATGCTGTACAGAAGACAACATTGCTGCAGCCAGCCAAAGAGCGTGCATGATTGTGGGAAAAACTTCACTAATAAAAATTACCTTCTTATACATAAACGATTGCATATGGGAGTGTAACTATTTCCATGTCTGAACTGTGGGAAAAGCTTCAGCACCAGGCCCAATCTGGTTACACATCAGATTAGTCACACGGGACAGAAGCCATATCAGTGTTCAGAGAGTAGGAAAATTATTTCTCATTGAATAAAAAGCTTGAGATACACAAAAGCTCTCACACAAGAGAGAAACCACACCCGTGTCCACATTCTATTTGTTCTGCTCTTTTTAACATTGGTTGTTAATGTTAGTCATCCTAAGATTATTTATACTTATGCAATATACGATTTTAAAATATATTAAAACCAACTTTTAACAGTTATGCCTTAGCTTTTGCATTCTGAAGGACTCATGATGGACTCATGATGCACATCTTGATTTCCCGCTTTGTATTTTTTCAATAGATGAGGAGCAGGTGAGGCAAGAAAACAGACCTGATCAGATAGAAAGTTCTTCCCTGGCAAAACCTAAAAAGACCATATTGGAAAGGCCCAAAGGGAGCACTTCTCAGCCAAGACAGAAAGGAAAAGGCTCTAGGAGACAATGTAGACCAGAGCAGAGGCAAAGAAGGCAGCAAGGGAAGAAAGGTGTGTGTGAGAAAAGCAACACAGATCCCAGTGAAATGACGCAGAAGTCATGTACGGGTCAACCTGAAACGAGCGGAACTGCTCATTCAGCTGCGCAACCGGTGAAGTGCTCCTTTTGTGAGAGAGTCTTCAGTCAAAAAATTGGCCTTACTAGACATATGAGATCCCATAGTGCAAAAGTATATACTTGTGCCCTTTGTGGCAAAAACTTCCGTCGCAGATCAGAGCTTGCTAAACATGCGACCGTCCATTCAGGAGAGCAAACATATCCGTGTTCATATTGTGGGAAAAAGATAAGTTCACGAGCACATCTTTTTAGACATGAGAAAATCCATACAGGAGAGAAGCTGTTTAAATGCATATACTGTTCAAAATGTTTCAGACAGAGAGAGCACGTTATTGCTCATGAGAGAATCCACACAGGAGAGAAACCATTTCAGTGCTCAGAT